CTTAAATATATATATATCCTCTCGAGTTGGCACAGTCACAAAATGATGTACACAATTGCCCAAACCTATCCTAACCGAGCGCCCACAAACACAAAACTGGACATCACGAACCCATAACTATGATGTATAGCACAACATTATGTGGCCGTTGGGGGAGCTGCTCGTCAAAACGCGATAACGAACTGGTAATCTAATCTTCAAGATTCGAGAGGACGGTAAGCTTACTTGCTGATTGGTCAGCAAGATCTTATAGCACTATAATATACTTAATAACTCTCCAGGGGTTGATATAGGGCTCAAGCTCAACACTGAACCATTTGCTTGTCCATTTTAAAGAATGAAGAACAATTTTTATTTATATTACTTCTAAGCTGCATCACTTATGAACCCATCCCTGCCCTTGTGTGGCAGTGCACAGTAGAAAGTTGTTTTCACGTATCCATACATTAAAACATTGATTGTAACAATGATATATATGTGCTTCAGCCTACAGTTTAGACCTATTGTCTTATGTATGACCCTCTGTCCTGCGTGACAGTGAATACCAGCATTATCCTCACTTTAATAAGACTATCAAAATCCTCAGATTAGGCAAAATTGTAATTAATTTTGTCAATAAAGATGTTAATAATAATAACTGAACCAACTCAGCTTATACTCTACTGTGTCACGTGTACCGGACCGAGACAAGCTGCTCGACTATCATTCACATTTTAACTACATTCCTACTAGTTGTATAAATATAAATTTATTGACAAAATATAAAGGACTAAGCTGTGTGATTTCTGTGTTATTTGGTTTTTTGTTTAAACTGGCAATGGTAATCATTCAGACTTTTCTCGATTTGCCACTCCGTAAAAAAAAAAAAACTATTTTCTGCAACTAGAAATATACGAACCCAAGAAAGTTACCCAACCTATCGAGGCCAATGTATAGAAAACGTATATATTTTACGGTGCGTTAACCTTTAGAAATACGTCAAATTTTAAACGTACTGGTTGATTGCGCAGAACACGTGACGCATCGGGTGAGGAGAGATGGGTGCCCGCCTCCCGGCACCAACCAGCAACTACGGGCTCGCCATAGCCCGTGCTACCTGGAACATTTTGTTCCAGGTAGCATTTTGTTCCAGGTAGCACCTGGAACATTTTGTTCCAGGTAGCGAATCTTAAACTACAACAACAGGAGTTGCTCCATCGCAGCCAAGGCCACCAGGACGTCTCGCCTCCAGGCTCACCAATGTATGTTTCCAGTATGTGGTTATTGTCAGACCATACGAGGTAGAGGGAGAAATTAAATACACCATACGAAGCAAAGGGGATATCTGGAGGGTTATCTGGAGATGATTTCGGGGCTTTTTAGTGTCCCTGCGGCCCGGTCCTCGACCAGGCCTCCACCCCCAGGAAGCAGCCCGTGACAGCTAACACCCAGGTACCTATTTACTGATAGGTAACAGGGGCATAGGGTGAGAGAAACTATGCCCATTGTTTCTCGCCGGCACCTGGGATCGAACCCAGGACCACAGGATCACAAGCCCAGCGTGCTGTCCGCTCGGCCGACCCGGAGAGGGAAGGGGTGTGGTTACTGCAGGGGAAACAGATAAAGATGCTGCTTATATTCACTGTCACACAGAGACAGTGAAGATACATCGATCGTTATATATAACATTTAATTCATTAAAATCTAAGGATAATGCCGAGCAGTCCGGGCAAGTTATATGGCCATAATGAACATAAGAACAAAGGCAAACTGCAGAAGGCCTATTGGCCCATACGAGGCAGCTCCTATTTATAACCCCCCAATCCCACTCATATACTTGTCCAATGCTGTTGGACAAGTATATGAGTGGGATGCTGTAACTGTTGTCCGCTACACAACAAGACTTGATACTTAAACAATTCACATTCAAAATTAAAAAAATTCAAATGTTTATTTAGGTAAAATACATACATACAAGGGGTGATACAAAAAATTTATGAATTTATAGATAGAGCTAGTACATACAATGCCTAAAGCCACTATTACGCAAAGCGTTTCGGGCAGAAACTTTAAAAGATGCATTCTATATTTCATGAAAAGTTTCGTTCCTGCGCGGAACATCTTCACGTGAGATATGGTGTTTAGCATGTTGTTGCTCTTGTTTTAGATTTAGCTACTTGGAACTAAACTTTCCATGTAGCACGGGCTATGGTGAGCCCATTTAGCGTGCATGGTAAGGGGACTATGTACTCAGGTAGAGGTAAGGAACAGGCTAGGCGAGCCAAGCCACAGAGATCAGGTGCTGATGAATGACGTTACCTTCTAATGGGTTTCGGTCTAGGCCTCATTTTGGTAATGAGGCAAAGTATTTTTTTTTCTGAGGGGGGAGGGAGGGGCAGGAATATTCCTGCGCGGGCCCCTAAGCCTATGCTCTTTTTTCTTTGATTAGGATTGCTTCTAGAATTTGTATTCTAAAGAGATTACAAATTCCTGAAGCAGGAACGGAACTTTGGGCACATAACATAGCATACAAATTCTTGCTGTATTTCATTCTCCTAAAACCCAGACTGACCATAAGTTTCGGTAACCTGGTCACCTTACTCCACGCTCATGTAAAGAAGATTGTCAGACGCATGGAATACCTGGACAGCATTATCAACAATGCTAAAAATATGGTCACTTTCTATCAAATATGCTTTAAGCCACGCCTGCTGCCATGCTAGTCCAAATATTATATATGTTGTAACCGGCAGAGCGTGGGTCTACATCTGTTATATTTACTACTGTTACCTTCGTATAACATTGTAACATCATAATATCGTTACAAAAAGTTGTGGTTATGTTACATTATGTATCTCAGCATACATTATGAAATGCTGAGAAACTGTTGGAAAACTCTACAAAACTAAACCACATTGCAAACTTTATAAGAGTCACTTCAAGTCACAATGAGGGACAAACTCCGACCTGCTTATGACCGTCACCAACAACCCTTGTGTCATCCTGAAATGTTTTACGAGGCTAGCCCCTAGCGTCTGGCTTCCGACGTTGGACAAACACCCTTTTATATAGATATAGATATTTGGAAGGTTGAAAACCGAGGCTCGCATGACCACCGTGAAAAACATGAGGCTTTAGGTGGTACAAAGTCTAGTTTAAGAACAAACTATCTAATGCTACACGCTCTGAAAGCCTATGAATGTAAAGTATCTTAATTTCCCTAACTTTTTATTGAAGATTTGCCCGCTCTACATTCATTTTTAAGCTAAGTAATATCTTTCTTTAAGTTTTTTTTTTTTGAGATATATACAAGAGTTGTTACATTCTTGTACAGCCACTAGTACGCGTAGCGTTTCGGGCAAGTCCTTAATCCTATGGTCCCTGGAATACGATCCCCTGCCGCGAAGAATCGTTTTTTCATCCAAGTACACATTTGACTGTTGCGTTAAACAGAGGCTACAGTTAAGGAATTGCGCCCAGTAAATCCTCCCCGGCCAGGATACGAACCCATGACATAGCGCTCGCGGAACGCCAGGCGAGTGTCTTACCACTACACCACGGAGACTGTGAAGTCATTTATTTTACTATACAGAACTGATATTCTTATTTTAATTGTATTTTACCACATGAAAATAGCAGATGGGAGGATCCTGACAATGGCCATCACCCAGTCCGTCCTCCTAAGGTTGCCCAACATCAACAAAACGGGCAATTTAAAGTCTCCTCTCCTAACCTACCAGAGGACCTAAAACAGAAAACGGGAGAGTACGTCACCTTTTGCGAGCCGCTTCCATTTGCAGGCGATGAGTCACAATAACGTGGCTAAAGTATGATGACCAGACCACACACTACAATGTGAAGGGACGACGACGTTTCGGTCCGTCCTGGACCATTTTCAAGTCGATTGTGACTTGAGAATATACAATACAATACAATACAACAATACAATACAATACAATACAATACAATACAATACAATACAATACAATTTTATTTAGGTAAGGTACATACATACAATAAATATTTACAAGGATTGTTTAACTTATAGGTATAGCTAGTACATACAATGTCTAAAGCCACTATTACGCAAAGCGTTTCGGGCATGATAAACTTAAATGCCAAGCTTAATACTAATTGAGCATAATGAGTAGAATGAAAACAAGAAATGAAAACATAGATGAAAAAGCAGCACAAATACAATTATGTCGACAAACAGCGCTCTTTAAAGAAAAAAACAGACATTGGTTGACAATAGTAGGGTAAGGTAGGTTACAGGGAATTTATTAGGTATAGCTTCGCTTTTAACTTAAACTGGTTGAGAGAGGTACAGTCTTTAACATGGTTGGGAAGGTCATTCCACATTCTGGGCCCCTTGATTTGTAGAGCATTTCTAGTTTGATTAAGTCTTACGCTAGGAATATCAAAACTGTATTTATTTCTGGTGTGATGCTCATGGGTTCTGATACAACCTTCTATGAAGCTTTTGAGATCAGGATTGGCATTATAGCTTAGCGTTTTATATATGTATAATACACATGAGAGAATGTGCAGTGACTTAATGTCTAACATATTCAGAGATTTAAGTAGGGGTACCGAGTGGTGTCTGGGGCCAGAATTGGATATTGTTCTAATAGCAGCTTTGTGTTGAGTAATTAGAGGACGTAAGTGATTTTGGGTAGTAGAGCCCCAAGCACAAATACCATAGTTGAGATATGGATAGATAAGGGAGTAATAGAGAGTCACCAGGGCAGGGCGTGGTACATAATATCTGATCTTAGAAAGAATGCCCACAGTTTTTGAAACTTTTTTTTCCATTTTTCCAGAATGGACCAGGACGGACCGAAACGTCGTCGTCCCTTCACCTTCTAGTGTGTGGTTTGGTCATCCGCTTCCATTTTCTAGTACTAAAATTTTTGGCCTTAATTGAGGCATACGAGCGAAAAAACATCACCTCTCGGCACTACATGACAACTGAGGCACCGTCCGGGGCCCTGGCTCACTATATAAGCCGTGCAGGAACGTGGAAAAGTTTAGTTCGTGCTCATCCCTCCAGGTGTAGAGGTGAGTATCAAAGACAGCATATTTGCGATAACGCTCAAGAGGTCATATTGTCAGACCATCATCCACTGTTAGTCTTCAATAACATTTATATCTTGTGGTGACTATTTTTTTTAAATACATCAGTTTGTCAGACTTGTACTCACCTAGTTGTACTCACCTAGTTGTGTTTGCGGGGGTTGAGCTCTGGCTCTTTGGTCCCGCCTCTCAACCGTCAATCAACAGGTGTACAGATTCCTGAGCCTATCGGGCTCTGTCATATCTACACTTGAAACTGTGTATGGAGTCAGCCTCCACCACATCACTTCCTAAAACCTTGTGAATCAGAAGTTATCAGTGATTTTACACAAAACTACTGTTCGCGTATCTCGGGCTTAGCAATGAGAGACAAATTTGTTTTAATAATAATAATATATTTAGGAAAAGTACATACATAGTTACAGCGTTACAGTACAAACATTCTGTTTGATTTAAAGATAGAGGTAGTACATACACTACCTAAAGCCACTAGTACGCATAGCGTTTCGGACAAGTTTAATTAATATTAATTATAAATATTCCTTATCAGTTGATGGGGGTTGAGATGGGATCATCTGTATGCCCAACTTTTGCAACTGTGTTGTGTTGTGATACACAAGTCCGGTGTGTATCGGATGTGGGAGCCGGTCGGCCGAGCGGACAGCACGCTGGACTTGTGATCCTGTGGTCCTGGGTTCGATCCCAGGCGCCGGCGAGAAACAATGGGCAGAGTTTCTTTCACCCTATGCCCCTGTTACCTAGCAGTAAAATAGGTACCTGGGTGTTAGTCAGCTGTCACAGGCTGCTTCCTGGGGGTGGAGGCCTGGTCGAGGACCGGGCCGCGGGGACACTAAAAAGGCCCGAAATCATCTCAAGATAACCTCTCAAGTCAGGAAGACTGACTGTCCGGCAGAGCTGAAATTACCAGTGATCAGTGAATGACATATTATTGTTCTTGAAGTATAGCCGCCGTGCTGCTATACTTCACTAGTGTCTGTCGACATTCCCACCATCCCAAGTCAACAGCGGAATTGTAAAGAGGCAATACTCCGCCATTTGTTAAGGACATATTGGTATACACAAGTAAATGCTAATATTCTAAATATCGGAAAACTGGACTAGCTCACAACTGTTTATCGGTCGAATGAACAAATCCACAAGATCCTCCCGGACGCAGGTTCGAATCCTCGTCACGGCCCTTGTGGATTTGTTCATTTGATGCATCACGTTAGTGTGATCTCTGTGTGTGTTTATCGGTCATTCAAGAATAATGATATTAAACCCTTAGTGATACATCAAACAGGATCGTATATAGAAGCCGTATATGCTAAGACAACGCTCCAACTCAAAATTCAGCCTGGAAAAAAACGGTAATAAAGAGGGAGGGGGGGAACTTGACAAGCCGCGGGTTTCCTGTCCCTCGTCGAGGCCCACAGTGGTGGTGGTCAACCTGTCCTCTTAAAAAGAACGTCGCTTTTGGCCGTTTGCCCGTATGGCCGAATTTGGACGTAATTTGAAAATGAAAAAAAAATGAAAATAAATTTGGGATTTCTTTTTGCAACACCAGTAAGTTAAGGGTCCTCTGATAGGTTAGGTGGGCAGGAAATTCTCATAAAGTTTCAAAACGTTATGAAAAACGTTAATTTAAAGTGTCCTCTTATAACCTCTGCGCGTAGGCCGGACGACTCAAATAGAAAACGGAACAGAACGTCACTTTTGTGAGTCGATTTTACATTTCAAATTACGTCCAAATTTAGCCATATTTTTTTTTTTTTTTTTTTTTTTTTTTTTTTGGGGCCTTTTTTTTTTTTTTTTTTTTTGCAGGATATATACAAGAGTTGTTACATTCTTGTACAGCCACTAGTACGCGTAGCGTTTCGGGCAAGTCCTTAACCCTATGGTCCCTGGAATACGATCCCCTGCCGCGAAGAATCGTTTTTTCATCCAAGTACACATTTTACTGTTGCGTTAAACAGAGGCTCGTTTTTTCATCCAAGTACACATTTTACTGTTGCGTTAATACAGTTAAGCGCCCAGTAAATCCTCCCCGGCCAGGATACGAACCCATGACATAGCGCTCGCGGAACGCCAGGCGAGTGTCTTACCACTACACCACGGAGACTGTGCCATAAGTAAGTAATATGACAATTATTTATCCGAACGTACAAACATATACTGTTCGATACCCAAAAAATTCTCGTTTTACAATACAATACAATACAATACAATACAATACAATACAATTTTATTTAGGTAAGGTACATACATACAATAAATATTTACAAGGATTGTTTGACTTATAGGTAGAGCTAGTACATACAATGCCTAAAGCCACTATTACGCAAAGCGTTTCGGGCAGGAAAATTTTGTACTATAAATTTTTGTAGAGGTCGGAAAAATAAAAATTTAAAACTTAAACTTACCTTAAAGGCCCTCCAGTGGTTGATAGGCCTTAAGACTGTTGGCTTGGTCACTTACCTTTTTGTGATGGTTTTAATAACCCTCCGGATGTTGATACGCCCCCCCAAGTCCAGTACCTAAAGATAAAAGTTAGAAGCAATGTAATAGGATGTTTTTAGAGCTTTTCAATGTTTATTTCCTAACTGGTAGACAATCTGCCCTCACGCCTCACACAACATTTTTAACGAAATCGACCAATCCGTCAAAATTGCGGGATTTTACATAAAAAAATCAGAGCACCGTAACATTTTCCTTTATCTGACACAACCCCATGAACTTATCTTAATACAAAAGATAGTGTCAAGAGGGAACACCTCAAACAGAAAAATAAACACTAAAATCTACTCAGGTGACTGATCGTCTACAGCTGATCTAATACTAGGGTATACTAATTCTACTATATAATGGGTATACTATATAATACTATATAATGGGTATACTATATAATACTATGGGTATACTAATTCTATGTTGCATTAGATTCAGCTACGCGGAACATTAAATCGCAATAGCACCGTCTATGATAAGCCCGTTATACAACATAGATATATATATAGATATACCACATATGTACTTATTAATCAGCCAAATAGTGACTATAAGCAATAAGTTATATATGTACTGTCTTGTGCGAGAGCGGGTTGATTAAGCCATACGTGTAAAGTTACCTGCCGACATATGTAACACGATGCTCGTCCCTCTATAGGAAGCAACCCAGGTTGAGACTTGGTGAAGGGCGAGCAGTGACAACACAATGATTCACAAGACCTGCGTGGTGGTGGTGGGTGTGTTGGCAGCCCTGGTGGCCACCGGTGCTGCCCATCAGATGATGTGGGGCAGCTGCTCAACCAACCCTTTTACACCTTTTCCTGATTTCAACCCTCAAAGAGTAAGTCGTGTGTGTGTGTGTGTTTGTATTGTTTCTATGTTCTTTATTAATGGACTAATGTTATATATATACTTTGCGACGGTAAGCCGTAAGTGTTATTAGTTAAGTAGCGTTTCATAAAAGCTCTCAGATCAACATGTTCTCAGGCCAGGCTCGTTAAAGCAGTGGGCCGTCCCCAAAGATGCAATCATCAATTTTAACATATTGTTTTATTAAAAATAGGTTAGTTTAGGTGTATACTCTGTTGGCCATTATTTGTATTTGAAGTACGTGGGGCGAAGCATTCATAACAGGCCAAAAATTGTCAATGACAACAGCGAAGCATCAAAAAACAGAGTCGAAATAGTTACTAACAACTCCAAGTTATCTGGAGGACAAGTGACCTGCCTGACGCACCTCTCTGCTCCAACAGTTCAACGGGTCGTGGTACGTTATAAAGAAGCTGGTGACGTCGAGCAGATGTATGATCACCACCTTCGACCTGCAGGAGAACAGCACCAGCTTCAAGGTGCAGGAGTTACGCACCCCCATCATCGTCGACGTCACCCCCTACAAGGCCACGGTCACCAACGAGGGCACCTTGAAGATGGACCGGACCACCCCGGCCAAGATGAAGCTCGACTGGAGTGGCAGTAAGTACCAGTAATAGCAGGCGATAAGACACAATAACGTGGCTGAAGAATGTTGACTAGACCACACACTAGAAGGTGAAGGGACGACGACGTTTCGGTCCGTCCTGGACCATTCTCAAGTCTCAATTGACTTGAGAATGGTCCAGGACGGACCGAAACGTCGTCGTCCCTTCACCTTCTAGTGTGTGGTCTGGTCAACAAACCAGTAATGGGACTATAATATTTTGGAGGGATAGAATATAGGAACGTTTATAGAGCTAGAGTGGGTGAGAGAGGGCACTAGTGTGGTAAAGAGCTTGACTTCCGCACTTCTACATTTCCCTACATTATTACTTCCAGTGCTATGTAAAGTCATGACTGTTTTCATTTCCAATTATTATATTGGTCATGTCATAAACAATATCTTCTATTCCTGCACCAGGAAAAACACCCGCGGCCTTTTCTTGCTATTATATTGGCACAATGTCCCATCTGAATATAACCTGAGCGTCCCCTATTACGTCAATATTCTTGGCATCTGTGTCGACCTGCTTAGCTGTCCTGTATTAGACGCTGATCTCTACCTGAGAGCACAAGAGTTCAACGTCTGAAATCGTCAGTAGCTATCTTCACTATGGTTGTGTCCTGCTCACACAACCGTCCAGCTATCCAGTTTTTTACTGTGTGCCTTGCTTCTGGGTTCTCTTCTGCTCCCACACTCATTCCTAGGACCTCTCTCAGTTGGTTGATCTCGGACAGCAGCTACAACTTAGCTCCTCATCAAGGGAAACGTTTAGCCCCATGAGCGGTGAAGTAGCAGACGTGAGGAACAATGAAAATCATAGTTTATATTTGTAAGCATAGTTTTAACAAATGGCATTGCTGAATTCCTTTTCATTCTATTGTGTGATCAGCGAGGCGTCCTCCAAACACCCGTGAGGGTTTCGGAGGAGGACGCCAGTCGGGGTGTGCATGATAGCTTCAAGAGAACGGGGAAAGGAAGCCAGTGAGGGTGGCCATGACAGTTGCAGAGGGCAGGAGAGACAGTCAGTAATGGTGTTCATGTGAGTTTGAGGTAAATCTTGGGCCATGACACTGTCGTGGGGTTAATCTTGGGAGGGCGGCCATGGCACGGTGGCGGGGAAGTTTGTGAGGGGGGCGTGCATGGTCTTCCCAAGCGCCTCAGACACTCACCTCAGCCATTGTGTTAACAGATATACTGGACGAGGTCATCAACACCGTGTACACAGTAGTGGACACAGACTACGACACCTACGCCGTAGACCTTGAGTGCCAGTCGTGGGGAATCTTCAAGAGAGTGTCAGCCACCATTCTCAGCCGCACCAAGGAGCTCCCAGCAGACAAGATAAAAGAGGTACGTGTCTTAGATAACTCTGCACAGATCTTAAGAGGAAACGGTGAACTCTTTTTTTTTTTTTTTTTTTTTTTTTTTTTTTTTTTTTTTGAGCAATGTAATTATTTGACACTTCCCTTTGTACAAAATGTAACTTTCTAAGCACACGTGTTACAATAGTCTCTTTACTATATATATAACACTTGTCCAAAATATAATTACATTATTAGTGTTATACTTCCTACATAATAAGGCACAACCCTGGAAACACAAACCGAAACTGTGTCTATTTTCCGCTTGTTACAACTTGTAATAAAGTTGTTACATCTTGGCTTAACGTGTTTATGACGTATTAGAACGTTGTTACAACTTGTTATATTGGTTATGACTGGTTAGGTGTTAAAACTGGTTCGAACGTTGTACCAACGTCATAGTTTCGGTGTGTGTTTGGCGAGAAGCTAACCCATAGAGATACTCCAAAAGAGAAAACAGAGTACCATACGTCTCTGTATCCAACCGTGGCTCAACAAAGATACACCAAGCCAAGCTGTGGATCTTATGTAGCCAGTAAACTAGGTCGTTGAAGCCGCTGAATAATTCCTGTAGTTGGGGACAAGAAGCCTGTATACCTAGGCTGGTATTAAGGGTCCCTGTGGGTCGAACATTCGAATCTCGATACCAAAATTTTCCCCAGAATGCAACCTTCAACAGTTTCTTAACTCCTGTTTACCGCTTGGCGAACAGAGGCACCAGGGAAAAGAAAAAGTGCCCAATCATTTATTTCTGCCCTGTTCGGAGATCGAACCTGTGATTTCTGATATTTCTGGCCAAAACGCTGCGCGTACTAGTGGCTTTACAAGAATGTAATTACTATGCTATGTATCCTCACAATCCCAATGTACCTTCTTGTATATATATATAAATAAATAAATAAATAAATAAATACATAAATTGTGAGTCAGGAACGAAGAACGTAGGTCACTGAACTGCAGGAATTTTCGAAGATTAAAATTTATTATATATTTAGCCATTAAAACATAATCTTGGTTACTCACCCTAGGTCAAAAATATTTAAAACATTTAAAAATATTTAAAACATTTAAAAATATTTAAAACGTTTAAAAATATTTAAAACGTTTAAAAATATTTAAAACGTTTAAAAATATTTAAAAAATATATATATTTTTTCTCAAAATAACCGTACTATGCAGTATAAAGCCTGCTGAAATGTGTATTCTGTTAAAATTTCGTCTAACTCGATAGACAACTTAATAAATTCACTCTTGAAAAAATAAAATTGTGTTTTGAGGTTTGAATTTTCCGCCAGAAATGCGGCGAAATAAATCCTTAACGCGCCATTATTGCCACATCTTTGGGGGTAATCGACAAGACTTTTAAAAACTACTTAAGAGTTGGCGGATTTCTTTCAAATAAAGCTCACAATGTAGCTAATAATCTTGGCTTTCTAATGACAATAACATTATTTTAAATATAGGGAAAAAGTAATTCGAGCTCCGAAGATGAGTTAACACAGCCCCTACCAGAGTTAAATGTAACATCCTGGATGAGGTTCACTAACTAGTACATAAAGACCAGTAAGCCACTCTGTGTTGCGTGTCTAAACTATTGTTAAATACAAATTCATTGCGACAGAAGTTCCTAGTCTCTTATGATTACTTTTTAAAAAATTAAGTAGCTCCAAAATTATCTTGGTACAGCAACCATTCAACCAGTATTGTGCTCACTACTTTCTGGCATGCGTAATTGTATATCCCTGCAGTCCATAGCGAAGTATATACTATGCTTACACACAGAAATTACAATAGCGTGATGTATCAAATGGACAAATCCACAAGGGCCGTGACCATGTCATAGCTCTGTCGATTCAAGCAGGGTCTGGGATGCTCCCAGACGTAGGTTCGAGTCCTCGTCACGGCCCTTGTGGATTTGTTCATATACTATGCTTATTTGTTTTTCCCCATGTGAGTTGTGCCATGAACGAGTTCTTAATGTGTTTTTTAATTTGAAGGCTTGCATATTTATATATCATATGCAACAAGCTAATATATGGAATCTTTGTAGGAGGACTGGGGATCGAACCTGCGTCCTGGGTCACTCTTAGACACGCGTGTCTAGTAACCCAGGACGCTAGTTCCATCCTCATCTTGCTCTGAAAATTTCCTTGTAGATATATTGCGATATTGTGACTTCCATGTTTATAATCTAAAATAACATGTATCTCCCTAATGCCTCGCGCAGCTGGAAAGTGATCTTACGAAATACAAGATCGACCTCTCCCGGCTCAATACCATCGACCAGGGCAACTGCTTCGATCCTTCACAGGTCGACTACAATTTCAAGATAGACCACAACGGTCTGAGTATGATGGGTCTCCTCGGTGACGAAAACCTGGAGCATATCAAGACACTTGAAGAAGCTAAGGAGTACCTCAATATAACGTCTAGGCCATGAGACCTGGATATAACGTCTGGGCCATGAGACCTGGATATAACGTCTGGGCCATGAGACCTGGATATAACGTCTAGGCCATGAGACCTGGATATAACGTCTAGGCCATGAGACCTGGATATAACGTCTAGGCCATGAGACCTGGATATAACGTCTGGGGATATAACGTCATGAGACCTGGATATAACGTCGTGGCCATGAGACCTGGATATAACGAGGCCATGAGACCTGGATGTAACGTCTAATGAGACGGATCGTCTAGGCCATGAGACCTGGATATAACGTCTAGGTAACGTCTAGGCCATGAGACCTGGATATAACGTCTAGGCCATGAGACCTGGATATAACGTCTAGGCCATGAGACCTGGATATAACGTCTAGGCCATGAGACCTGGATATAACGTCTGGGCCATGAGACCTGGATATAGCGTCTGGGCGCATGAGACCTGGCATATAACGTCTAGGCCCCTGGATATAACGTCTGGGCCAAGACCTGGATATAACGTCTGGGCCATTTTACTGTTGCGTTAAACAGAGGCTACAGTTAAGGAATTGCGCCCAGTAAATCCTCCCCGGCCAGGATACGAACCCATGACATAGCGCTCGCGGAACGCCAGGCGAGTGTCTTACCACTACACCACGGAGACGGTTCTCAGCATGGGTCATATAGGGGGGGTTCCTAGGGCTCTCTCTAGTTTTTATTTCTTCCAAAATTGTCCTAGTAACAACTCCAACCTTGGAACATATACACACTAGTGTCACTGGGGCTCCCAAGACTATGCCTTCAGCCTCGAAGCTGTGATCATAACATGTTAATTTGCGAACATGACTTTTCTGCCCATACGAGGCAGCTGCTGTTTATGCTTCTTCTGCCTATCTCCAAGTGGTACGGAGCGTGAAATATGGAGAAAATTACTATATATATTATCAAACATATTGTGATGGATAGGGCAATATCGGAAGTTGAAGTGTTTCTTTACTAATAGGTAACATGTTTGGTGGTAATTAACTTTAATTGTCAACCAATTATATATATTTATATAAACTAGTTAACGCATGTCTACGTGTACCTAAAATAAACTTTATATAACCAGTAAATGTATTTTTGACTTACTCCTGCAGAATACCATTGCAACAGGTGCTGACACAATTGCTTCAGAACATACCTATTGCAACAGCTCCTGTTTTCAAATCCTAAAACATGCACTCAGTCCACACATTCTCTTGTACTATTTGGATTTACTAAGATTTACCACTCAATTCTTAAGTAATAATAATAATAATAATATAAATTCATCTTAGATAATAATTATAAAAATTTGTATTAAAATATACATAGGTTGTTTGTTACATAATGGTGCATAGAATAAAGGAAGTAATACACAGACAGCGTTTTGACATTTTATATTAAATGCTTGACAAATATCAGTGAATAGTTTAAAAGCATTAGCAGAGGATGAACATGTAGATAATTGACATGGAGGGAGATGTCGATATTATGCTGACATGATGTGAGGCTCGCAGGACATCTTGATGTTACTTGAGCAGCAGAAGTCGTGAGGGAAGGTCGCGCTCCGCTGAGCTCCTGGAGGCCCTGGAGACTTCATAGATTTAATGAGTAAACATTCAATACTAAACGTGAAGCTAATATAAATTAATTATATTTATATATATATATATATAATAACTGCATTAAAGAAATTAATTCAGATTTAGAAGAACTATGCCCAGAGACCTGAAAGCTGCAGTATTAAAAGTTATATTTTGTAATATATATATGTATGGTCACCTAGTAGCCAGAACAGGCACTTGTCAGCCTACTATTGGCAAGGCCCAATTTGCAGGTAATAAGCCACTAGTTTTCATGAATTAATGTGATTTTAATGCTACCTAACCTACCTAACCTAACCTAACCTAAAGGACTTTTTTCCTGGCTACCTAACCTAACCTGTAACTATTTTATTGATAGGTTAGGTTAGGTTAGGTAGGGTTGGTTATTTTAAAGAATATATCTACGTTAATTTATAACTCCAATAAAAAAAATTGACCTCATAAATAGTGAAATAGAAAGTTGTTTTATCATTTCATAAGAAAAACATTATTGTAAATATATTAATTCAGCCTAAAGACTTGGCTTATTAGGCAAATCGGGCCTTGACAGTAGGCTACTAGCATTATCCTCACTTTAATAAGACCTATCAAAATCCTCAGATTAGGCAAAATTGTAATTAATTTTGTCAATAAAGATGTTAATAATAATAATAGATTTAATGAGTAAACATTCAATACTAAACATGAAGCTAATATATATATATATGACTTGTTTAAGTAATTTAACAAATGATATACAGTACAATATTTCTGTAATGATGTTGAAAGGTATAGGCATACACTTGTATTATTTAAGATTTACTTCTCGATGATCACCAGGTGACAGCACCAACACCGCCTCATGTATAAGTATACACAAGGAAGGACCGAACAACTGTGACTAAGCTCCTTGAGGGTGTACAAAGTCAGGGGGATGGGGGGCTGATAGTACCTTAGAGAAGGTGTTCTTCAGGCTTGACAGCTACAAGATAAGAAATCGACTGATAAAGATAGCATTCAAGAAAATGCCACAAAAGAGGCAGTCTTAACCACGAACAGCAAACTTTTGCATGTAATGGAATGCAGAATGTTTTTTTTTTTTTTTTTTTTTTTGAGGGAAGAGAGAGACATTTTTTTTTTTTTTTTTTTTTTTTTTTTTTTTTTTTGCAGAGGGACATGATGAGGGAAGAGAGAGATAAGGTAGGAGAAGCAAGGGAGAGACACGAGAGGGAATGGGCAACCCACAGGTCTCAGCACAGTAACACCAGTAGCTTCAGATGGGAGTGGGGAACCCTCCATTGGTAGTATGGCAACCCCAGAGAGAAGTGGAACAGAAGACAGCGAATCACTTTGAGGGTGATATTTTGGAGTGGTGAGATGTCATTAGAGGAGTCCAGCAGGGTTTAGGTCTTGGACCTATTCTACTTCTCATATATGTAAACAATCTTCCAGTGGGAATACACTCACTCTTCTCAATGTTTGCTGATGATGCAGAAAGTATGAGAAGGATTAACACAGAGAAAGGCAGCAAGAAGCTAAAAGATGACCTTGACAAAGTATTGTCTAACAAACGGCTAACAGAGTTTAACTCGAGTAAATGTAAAGTAATGAAGCTAGGTGATGGGAGCAGGAGGCCAGACACAAGATACCATATGAGATATGAAATCTTCCATGAAACGGATAGAAAGAAGGATGTAGGGACTGCTATCACACCGAACTACATCAGCTATTCAGCTGTTGAAGCTACATCAGTGGCATATGCAAGACTGGCTAACATTAGAACTGCCTTTAGATGTTTGTGTAAGAAATCATTTAGAACCTTGTATATTATATATATCAGACCAATCCTGAAATATGCAGCTGTAGTATGGAGTCCATACCTTGTGAAGCACAGTACGAAGTTGGAGAAAATTGAAAGGTATGCCAACAGACTAGTGCCAGAACTTATTGGTATGAGTGACGAGGAAAGGTTACATGAATTAAGTCACGTCACCAGGACGATATCCAGGTGGCAGCACTAGCACCTCCAGTCACCAGGACGATTGCCAGGTGGCAGCACCAGCATCTCCACCAGTCGCCAGGTGGCAGCAGCAGCATCTCCAGTCATCACCAACCAGCAGGACGGTCGCCAGGTGGCAGCACCACACAGCGGGTAACACTGGGCCTGGTGGCATGAGCATCGCGTCGAGCAAGACTTAAGTTGTTCCCTGCTGGTGTTAGGAGACGATCTCAAGTAAGTAATTACCCGAGTGTAGTTATAGGATGAGAGCTACGCTCATGGTGTCCCGTCTTCCCAGCGGGTTGGAGCTTAGTTACTTGTGCATTACAGTATAGCGTATGGCAGCTGTTATATTGACCAGTGTCCATCACTGGTACAACCGGCTGGGACGGACTGCCATTGTTCCAGCAGGTCTTGTTCCCTATGCAAGTTATTTATTTATTTATTTATTTATATACATACAATAAGATACATTGGGGTTGTGAGCGTACATACCAATGTATAGAGAGATTGAGGGTATAGCACCATTGTTTTAATAAATTATTGGTGGTCTTATATTCTTGCAAAGTCATTAACACTCATACCCAAAGCCTCCTTAAATTACATTAGGTGAAGAAATGTAGTATATTTGCTTACTATAATGTTGGTGCTGAATATGGAACTTAGGGATAAATGACTATATAACAGATATAAGCTCATTTTATAACTAAATTAGGCCAAAATTGGTGTTGAGTGATGGCGATGATGGCGGACGATACGTTATGGGCGACGGTCTCGCTTCTTGCAGGTCGGCGTTCAATCCCCCGACCGTCCAAGTGGGTTTAGCACGATTTCTTCCCCCGACAAGATGAGTGGCGATGCCCAATAAACTCGCCCCTCGGGGCAAAATTTAAAAAAAATTTCCCCTGTCGCATCCCAAATCCGTATCCTGACCCCCTTATAAGTGCTATATAGGTGCAATGATTTAACGCTTTTCCCTGATAATTCCCTCTCTCGCCCAAAACCTATTTTAGTCTCGTCATAAATTGAGCCAATTTTAGAATAAAACTGTATTTTCAGGGTCTTCATTCAGCACCAAGATTATAGTAAACAAATGTGTGTTCTTACAGAAGTTAAAGGGGCTTTTGGTAACTGGGTAATTTTGAAATGACTTTAAATGGCAGCAAAAAAGGATTTTAAAGGGCTCTGTCACTGGTTTACATAGGTTTTCAGTGATTTTGAATCTTTAGATTTGGTTTACTATAATTTATGCCACATCCATCGTTAGTATACTTTGTGTTCGTGTACAGGATCCTAATCTAGTATTAAACGGAGCAATTTACACTCGTGAACTAGTTACAATGGTTTTCATCGACTCGGTGGAGGTTCTCGGGTTTGATCCCCGAGTGGGAAAGACGGTTGGACACGTTTCCTTTTGCCTGATGCCGCTGTTCATCTATCTGTAAATGGGTACCCAGGAGTTAACAGTTATGGGAACTTGCTTAACCTAACCTAGCTCAACCCAATGTAACCTACCCAGCTGAGTCCAATACATCCTAACCTAAGCTAATACAGCCTAGCATAACAATATTTACGCTTTTAACAAACAAAACGAGCTTCGTCTAATTGTCTCGTGTCAGAAACAACCAATCCCCAGTAGAACAAGTTTTAAGAACATTTCAATTTCAATTTCAAGAACATGAGACTCGGGGAAAACTGCAAAAGGCCTATTGGCCCATATTTGGCAGCTCCTATTGTACAGCTCTTAGTCCTTGACAAGAGGAAATGTTTGCCAAATAGATGAATCTTCTTCCCTACTTGGATCAATCAAAGAGTTGTTAGTTGGTTTTTATGTATTAGTCCTGTGTATGTGGTTTATAAACTTGGTAGAAATGCAGAAGGTTATAGGGCTATTTTATGATGTATCATGTTGTTACACACACTGAAAAATAGTGTTGACAAAAAGTTATCTGACAGTTTTAAGAATTATTTAATCTTGTGTTGATGTTTCCAAACCCCTCAGCACACTTCATTTTCCAGGATGGTCGTTTTGAACGAGCGTATGCCTGGGCAAGAGCTATCTTCTAACAAAAATAAAAACACAACTGGTGGTGTCACCTCTTGTTTGTCCATGATGAATAAGTTCTACATAGTGTTTTATGGGTAAGTCAAAGCATTAAAAGTTACACAATTTCACGTTACTGTTGATCAGACATTTCAGAATAAAAAATAAAGGCATAGGATATGATACCTGCTTGATAGGGTTCTGAGAGTTGTTCTACTCCCCAAGGCCAGGCTTGACTTGTGTTGTGACTTATGCTTTAAAAACTTTAGTTTTTACACATATGTAGGTGAGCAGGAAGTGTGTTAATGCAGCCCTGATTGTTAACAACAAAGGTAAAGTAGGTGGGCAGAATGTAGCTTACTCCTCAACTGAAAAGTACACACATTAAAAAGTTTGACTTGTGGGATTGTTTAGTAGTGACTGATCTTTCAGGAACTGGTGACTATAAACATACAGGTTGGACAACTAGAAGGTTAAACTTTAATCATGGTATTACAGTAGGAAGCTGATTGTTTCTCATGTTTTGTAATTTTGATAAAAAAAAAGTATGCCATGATCTGTTATGTTTTAATTTTTTTTTAAGTAACATTTCTAAATCTATACCCTGTATTAATAATTGTCTTGAGACAATTTAGTAACTAGTAATTTGTTGGAAAAGATAGTGTATAGAAAAGAATTTGTTAAATTGTTGATGAGATTTGTGAATTGCATCTTTTTTTTTATTAAATACTGTAATATATTCAGCAATTTGTATCATTGAAGAGGTAAAATTCATGCCATTCAGCTGCTCTAATGTCCTGTCTTAGAACACTGAACATTTTCTTCCTTGTTAATCCAGTTGTTTTGAAACTCAGAACTGCCCAAGCAAAGGTTTGAGAATTTTTATGGAATTGATCTCTGATCATTTCTGAGCTAGATAGAATTTCTAATGTGGCTTCCTAAGCATAATGTGTATTCTTGGAGGGATATTTGAAAGACTGCAGGATTGTCACTCCTGACTTTTAATATGCTCT